GGTATTACGTCCCGCAGTTGCTCACTAGTTTTGCTTATCTTTATAGCTACAGCTTTTTCATAATAATAAGAAAAAAAAAAGAATAATGAAAAAAAGTAGCTACCCTATTCCAAACTCTAGCAGAGCCCCTAGTAGACATCTATTTCAGTGTGATGTCACAGTGCTTATATAAACATGCATTTATAGTTGTGTGTGTGTGTGTATATATATATATATATATATATATATATATATATATATATATATATATATATATATATATATATATATATATATATATATATATGCATGTACAATCTAAAATGTATATGTGTGTGTATATTTAAAAAATTATACTTTTGAGCACATAAAAATGTTTAAGCAAATCTTTTGTCTTCAAACATTCATACATTTCTCATTTGGATTTTTTGATATCTCTTATTTGTGTAAGTTTATGTAGGTTTCTTGCTTGTGTAAGTTTATGTGGCTTTTTTTCAACATTAGTGCAAATCTTTTTTTCCTAGACTCTTGTTTTATAGTAATTATCCTGGCATATATAAGTGTTTTCTAATCCTACTCATATTTGAGAAAATAATGATTTAGTTTTTTATTTGTACCATATAAAGAACAAATATATTCATTATTTACTATATAATGCATAAGCAAAATGTACAGAAACTGTTCCATATATTTTTTTTTTTTCATCATATTTTATCATATATTATTTCATCATCTCAGCTAAGCTTTTTCTTCCTTTGATCTTTAGAGAGGGTTGTTATTTTTTACTTTGTGAATGAAAAGTCACATAAGAATTTGGTTGATGGAATATTAGATGATCATTTGAGAAAAAGCCATGATAGTATTTATAGAAAATTAGAAGATATACAGCTTAGCAAGGCTGTATAAACAGGTTCAAATAAATTAAAAAAGAAAGAGCATTATTAGAAGAACCAGCCCAAATATATACTTCATACAAGGCAAATAAAAGATTTATATATGCAGAAAATGAAATTAGGAGGTAAAAAATGATAAACGTTATAAAGAGAAGCTTAGATGCTAACTTTGAATGTTTTCTGTGTTACAAATAAAAGATGATCTGAGAAAAACTTAGTAAGTGTCTTGACATTTATAAACAGACTAAGTAAGTGTCTTGACATTTATAAACAGAGTAAGAGTGTTGACATTTATCAATATAAGAAAGCCATCCCTTATTTCCTTTGAGTTGAATTTAATTAGACATTGTGAATTCTCTAAGTTGTGAAATCACATTTTAGATTTGCCATGTTTAAGCAATGAAAATGATGAGTTTTTATCAAGACTGGAATATATATCACCAGTAAATACATGATATATATCACCAGTATATATTTATTTATCACCAGTGAATAGTGCTTAAACGGTAAGATTGTTATAAAAATCATTAATGTAGCTGAAGTACAATAGATGGAACCTTACAGTACTCCTGAGGTTACTGAAAATAAAGAAGAGTTTTGTCTATCAAAGAAGACTACATTACTGTGATTAGGAAGTAAAAATTCAACAATTTTGAAAAATTTTCTCAATACGCTATGTGAAGAAAGTCTATGGAGAAGGTCAATATGCCAGATTTTATTGTAAATATTTGATATGTCAAGAGCGATTTGCCATTACTGCATTCATCTAAAGCAAGTTAAAACACTTCAATTATTGCAGTTTACAAATTAGCAATAGAATGAAGAATTGAAATCTAATTGGTTATTTAAAATTTATTATTTTATTATTTGTTATTTAATATTTTATTATTGGTTATTTATTATTTTATTATTTATTATTTAAAATTTTATTATTAGTTATTTAATATTTTATTATTGGTTATTTAATATTTAAAATTTTATTATTGGTTATTAGAAAGATGTAAGACTCAAGGTTAAAATTTAACTCTTTCCGGCTAAAAAAATACCAATTGTTTATAACAGTTATACAAAACCTAAATATTTTTAAAAAGTAAAAAATTTAAGTATATAATGTTATACATTTTTGAAAAGCTTATAAAATTTATAATATTTATTACTTATAATTTATATTTACAAATTTGTTATCCATAATGGTGTTAAAGTCCGTAATGGTGGAAAAAGGACCAAAACGTTTGAATTTTTATGAGATATTTTTATTCAAAAGTTGATCTTGGTGTTTATGATAAAGTCTAATGTAAAAACTATATTTTAAAGAAATAATATATCAAAATACTAACATATTTTTGTAGAAAATATTAAACATGGTAGGTGGTTTTTTGTTTTAAAATATACTAGCAAAAACAGGAAAAATAGTATAACAATAATATAAAATGCACTAAAAATTGCATTATATTTTTAAAATACATACTTAAGTTTATTATTTTACAAAAATTTAACTTATGGTAAATAGCAAAAAAAATTTTTGCTGCAGTCCAGTGTAACACAGTGCAGTGTGTAATTGCAGTGTAACTGTAGTGTGTAAGTGCAATGTAACACATTGCAGTGTAAGGCAACATAGCACTGAGGTGTATCACAGAAGGAAAAAATCTTCACTTCTTTTTTTAGTTGAGTAAAGCACACTTGACATTTTCTTTTATTGTTGTCAAACTTTGGTAGATGCCATACCACCAATGATACTTATACCACCAACAGACGAGTCCACTTATCTTCACTATTTAATTCATAATCCATAACATTATCAAAAACATTATCTTTTTTTTTTTAGACAAGGTCCAAAAACGCATTATAAATGTAGTTTGTAATAAAGGTTGACTTGTCATTCAGCAAAGTAACATCCTTTTACTGTATCTGTCCCTGCAGGCTCTAAAAACTTTCGTCTAGTTTTTTTTTCAGCACTTCAACCCTTTAGAACTCTCTCCCATCATCATGTTTTCCTGACTCTTACAACCTACAACTTTTAAAGTCTTCTGTCTTTAACTCCATTCTTTGTTTTCTTCCCTACTTAACAGTGGTTGCTTCAAGCCTTGTTGAACTCCAATAGCTCCAATCCTTTGGTTAGGGGTATATCAATTTTCTTATTTGTTGTGAAATCAGGTTCGAATCCTTTGATTGTTTTTTTATGTACTTCTGCTTTGCACCTCTTCACATTATCAGCTTTATCTTTCTTCCTTGTCATTCTTTTTCTTCCCAAGACTCTTTTAGATGTAATTCTAATCAAACTGATCATCATCTATTTCTTCATCCCTCTGCCAATAGCCTTGATTGTTGGGAGTAAATTAGAATTGTTGGGAGTAAATTAGAGTTCAAAAAACACTGAAGTGTAATTTTCAGCAGGGAAAAGAAAATTGCCCAGTAAACATGAAGAAAATCATAAAAAAAGTTGAGTCTTAATAAATGGGATGATAGACTCGATGATAAAGACTAAAGAAGAGAAAATTTAAAGTTTCTTTGCGATTATAGCATTGCAAAAAACTTAAACGAGTAGAAGTTAACCACAAGCTAGGGAGCCAAGACACAAATCAAAAAGTGAAGTGATTTGAATTATTTGGAAAAATCTGGTAAAGAGATTAAGATACCATTAGTACCATTCAAGTCATGAATGACTCAATGCAAGCGCATTCAGTATCATGAGTATGTTGAGGTTTTTAAAAATTAGAGGATAATGACCATCAAACTTAGATGTGGTGATGAAACAGTTAAATTTAAATGCCTCACAAAGTGCAAATAGATGTGGTGATTTTTGCAAAGGTAAGAATCGACTGATTTGAAGTTGATATGCCTCTAAGACCATTTAATGAATAAAATGATCCGTAATTATTTACACTATAAAAGGGTTTATTAAAGTTGTATCAAATTAAATTCTGACATTTTTAAATAATAATATTTTCTAATGTTATAAAAATATTTTTATAGTTTGCTGTTGAACTCTTTATTTGTTCGCTGTTAAGCTTTCAATTAAATTTGACTGTTGCATTTTTCTTGTTAAAATGATTGCACAACTGCATTGTTACTGTTACCAAATAACTTTTTGTCATGATTCTGAATACCTAGTTATCATGTTTTACTAATAATTTTTAAACAAAATTTAACTTCGTCTTCTTAGGAAGTGAAGCTCACCATTCGCCCAACCGAAGATGTTCGTTAACACTAAAAGAAGCTAAATAGACGAGTATATAATCTCTTTTTTACATAATTGAAAGTCATTTTATGAAAAATATCCATTTTATGAGAACGTTACATCTTAGGCTATTTTTTAAGTTTGCGTAATTCATAAAATAGAAAATAACATTAAATGAAACTAAATAGTAACCCTTATTTTCAATTTACAGTAGATATTTGTACATAAATCTCTATAAGTATTTTGTTACTTAAATAAAAATTTATGATAAATGTTCATCTGCTTTGTTATACAGTGCTGGCCAAAAAGATCCGACCACGCATTGTTTATCTATGTATACAGTATGTACATTGTAGTGTAGGCGCTTTCCTCGGAATTTCACCATCACGCTTTGCATGCGTGATTGGCTAGTTATCAGCCAATCAAAACAGTTGTACCATTGTTATATATACCATCGCATGCGTAGCTGTGAATTACTATTTGCATTTGACTATGGCGACAACATCACCTGGAAAACGTGCTAAAATACAACTTTTGATGGAAGACGGGAAGTCTGAACGTGCGATTGCCGCACGTTTACAAATGCCTAAGACAACTGTTCACGACGTCATTCAGCACATCAAGTCAACAGGCACCAGCGCTGCAGGAAGATCCAGTGGCAGACCGAGATGTACCACATCAAAAACTGACGCTATGATCCGCCGTGCAGCCACGAAGGACCCACTGGCATCATCTTCACAAATTCTCAATGAACTGCCTCCTGATGTGAATGTGAGCTCTCGCACCATTCGGCGACGTCTTGTGTTTAATTCAATCATATTATCATTAAATTGAAGTGGTATTACGTTTCTGTCTAAAAACCTTAGTGGTCGGATCTTTTTGGCCAGCACTGTATATTTTTACATGTTCTTTAACGATTTTTATGTTATTAATGGAAGTTTTTGTTATAGATTCCAAAGCCACCAATTCTGAATCACGAGGAGCGTCAAACACAAAGTTTTCCTACAATGAAAAAATCTCATTTAAATAAAGAAACATATTCAGACGATTTTAAGGATGACAGTAATCTAGGTCTTCTAAAACTTAGTAGTGTATAATTCTATATAAATAACACAATTTTTACACAAGATATGACATTTACATCAACTTTTGATTATGAACACTTTCCGAACCGGAAATATTGTTTAACTGAATTTTTCCTTTGCTGCTTCATCTGTTGACATCTTGATGTTTTTTAAAAAATTGCCAACTATTAATCATCTTTTTATAAATTGAAAATATTATGTAATTAAATATGCTAAGAAATATGTTTCTATATGTTTTTTTAAATTTATAAAGTTGTTTATACCCCATAGATTATATCATGTATATATTTATGTTGGTCTAAATTGTAATTATAAATTAAGCTTAACTATAAAGATACTTGTTAGCCTGTTCAATTAATATATACGAATGTATATATATTGAATTTATAAACAAATGTTTATATAATGATTTTATATACAAATGTATATATATATATATATATATATATATATATATATATATATATATATATATATATATATATATATATATATATATATATATATATATATATACATATATATATATATATATATATATATATATATATATATATATATATATATATATATATACACACACACACACACAAATGTATATAAATGAGTTAGTAATAAGTACTTATTTAACTTTTTTCTTCAACCTCATTTCATTTGTTTATGACTTGTAAAGATACCTAAATTTCAAAAATATTTCCCAGATTTATTGTAATCACTATTTAATTTCTGTATTCTTTATATAAAGAAAGGTATTCTTATTGTAAAGAAAGGTATTCTTCTTGTAAAGAAAGGTATTTTGTCTTTTAAGAAATGGTATTCTTGTAAAGAAAGGTATTTTGTCTTGTAAAAAATGATATTCTTCTTGTAAAGAAAGATAATCTTCTTGTAAAGGAATGTACTCATACTGTAAAGAAAGTTACAGTAGTTTGTAAAAATAAATTGTGAAAAGTTTCTTCAAATCATAGGTAATTATTTTTATAGTTTTCAAAGATACATTTATATACCCTTTTTAATTTATAAATTTTCTATTTCCGAATGGGTATCCCCATTCGTAAAATTAAAGAAAATTCCCGCCTATGTTTCCAAAAAAATGTTGCTTTTCCAAAAAAAAGCCCGTAGTTTTGTGGCTTTTTTATTGTACTTTCTTTTAAATAAATAAAATTTTATTGTGCTTTTTTTTAAATAAATAAAAACACATAAAAAAAAAAATTTTTTGTTGTTTTTATTTCAATAGCTATTGAACTAAAACAGAAAATTTTCAAATATTGGAAGTTTTGGTTTGAACAATAAAATCTAAAAAAATAATAATTGGAATGATCTTTATTTAATTAAAAGACAATGCTTTTTCCTCATTCTTTCTCTCTTTCTCTTTCTCTCCTACAATTGAACAGTTTTTAACAAGAATACTTAATGAATTATCCAGTATGCAGAAATACTATAGAATTTAAGTCACTTTTTAAGAACATATTTCTAATTACGTTTGTATGAAAATAATTTCGTCATAGTTTCAGTCTATTGTTAATTAAAAAATGAAAAGGTTTAGAATTTAAAGGTTTTAATTTTATGTTAATAATTCAAAAAAAATTACTATTTTAAAGTTGTTTGCTTCCATGTTTGAGTTATATTAAACATTTCGAAACCAACAAACTCAGTAGCGGACGTATGTTTTTAGTTTACCCCGTCAAAAAAAACCATACTCCATGTTGTTAGTGACGTAACTACGCCCGCTGTGCAAACAAAAAAAATTAAAGAGGATAGAAGGTAAAGATTTTGCGATTGCTGAGAGAAACTCATATCTTAGTTTTACTTGTTTTCATGCAAATACGTTTCAAAACTAAGTTAACTAGTCATAAAGTTGTTTTGAGCATTTTTAACTTATACGATCCTTAAATATGGTAAAAATTAAGAACATTGCCTAACTCGATTAATTTTGGCTTGTTTTCAGTAAACCGATAATATCTATAAATTTTTTTTTTAAAAAAGGTAATATTTCGCTAATTTTGCTTCGAATTGGTAAAATGCTGCTGTTATGTTATGAATTAACAAAAGAATTTCAAATCTTTTTAGAACATTTTCAATCAAATTTCAAGCCACGCTTTGATGTTTTTATTTAACTTGATAGTTATTTATTTAGTGTCAGGTTTTTCTAATTTTTTAAAAAACCTTTATTTTTAATAAATTTTCAAAATCTTTACTTCCACAAATATTAGGTTTAAAGAACACCATTGTGGAGTTTTTAAATTAATATTGCTCATCAACTTTCACTAAAAGTGTCTTAATCCACTTTAGAGCCTTATTCTGATCTATTCCGTTGCATATTAACTAAATACATATTTGTCAATTACAACATTTCCATCGAATTTTATACAAGTTTATAAGCCGATCAAAAAAGACCAAAACATTAAGAAAAACTGCCATTAACGAATCAGAATAGAACATTAAACTACTAAGTTCATTTCATTCATTGAGAAAATTTAATCTTTTGTCTTGAAACATTTTTGTATTATCTTTTTACATCAAATATTTGCCGATAAATGTCTATAAACCGATAATATGCCGATAACCGATAAATGCCGATAAACCGATAAATTTATAGATATTATCGGTTTACTGAAAACAAGCCAAAATTAATCGAGTTAGGCAATGTTCTTAATGGCAGGGTAAATGCTTTGCATTTTGCCGATAATGTAGATATTTTGCTAATTAAAACAAAATCAGAAAAATAAATGTTTATAATTATTTCTCATTCAGAAATAGCTCCTTCAAAACTTTTAACTTCTGTCATAATTTAGAGATCAGGTTGTTAAATGGAAATACGTCTTGATCAGCAAAGTATTTACATTACTTTTTTATTTTTCAGTTAAAAAAAAAAAATTCATTAGATTGGTAATAAAAAAACTACTTAAGATTATCTTAGATTATCTACCTGATTGAGAATCAAGGAAAAGATTTTTAATGCTGTGAGGAAAGGAAACAACCCAAAACGTCAGCGTATGAGGAAAAGGTCATTTGCAAATTTGAATCAAGACATTTTCAAATGGTTTCTGATTGTTCGTAGCAGAGATGTCACTGTCTCTGTTTTAATTCTCAAAACTAAAGCCATGGAATTTGCTGATAGAATGAACGTTGCAAATTTTCATGCTTCAGATGGTTGGTTAGACCGTTGGAAGAAACGATACAACATATCATTTAAAACGGTTTCTGGTGAAGCTAATGCGTGAAATGGTAGCACCATGGGAGAAAACCACGTTACCAACCATTTTATCAAAATATAAGTTGAACCAGATTTATAATGCTGACGAATTTGGCTCGTTTTATCGGCTCCAACCAAATAAATCTTTACATTTTAAAAATAAAAAATGTGTCAGTGGGAAACACTGCTAACTACGTCTTACAGGATTGGCATCTACTAATGCATTAAGCAAAAAATTGCCAATGTTTGTTATTGGCAAAGTTAAATCGTCCAGATGCGTTAAAAATGCAAAGCATTTACCCTGCCATTATCGCAGTCAGAAAAAAAGTTGGATGGATGGCACACTATTCGACGAATGGGTTCGTGAAATTAATTTGCAATTTATGAAGGAAGGACTAAAAATTGTTTTATTAGTTGATAATTGTCCAGCTCATTCAGTCATTGATAATCTCGAATCAATAGAACTAATCTTTTTACCACCAAACACTACCTCGAAGCTCCAGCCGATGGAGCAGGGCGTAATTAGGTCACTTAAAGCCCATTATAGAACACTATCTGTTCAAAAATTAATAGATGCAATAGAAAAAAAAGCCTCTTCCGGAATTTACTAATGTGGATGCCATGTAAAGGCTTGATGTTGCTTGGGGAAAGGTGAAGACTGAAACTATTTGCAATTATTTTTATAAGTAGTAATTTCGTAGAAAATTTGTTTTGACGCCTCGGTAGATGTGGATGATCCCTTTAAAGATCTTAAAGACCAGTTAGAAAAGCTTGCTGTTCATACATCCGAGTTCTTCCCTGAAGGAACAACAGCAAAAGATGTCGTGTCCATGGATGAATTCGTCAACACTGCCGAGCCGATAATGAGGAGATTATATCAGACGTTTTCGGAGAAGAACATTTTGAGGCTGAAAGAGATGAAGATAGTGATGTAGATTTTTTGATTGAACCAACTTGCCCTCAATCGGGTGATGTGCGTCAAGCCCTGGAAGTACTACAAAGCTACATGATATTCAGTGACAATGGAGAATGTATTTATAAATGTCTAAACCAAATAAACTTAATTGTGGAAAAAGAATTATCAAAGAAGCTAATATAAGAGGATATACGTAGCTTATTTTACTGAACTTTTTTCACACTTTTTATTACTATAATAGTGTATATTTAATGTTTAAACTTTAGCATTGAATAAATAAAAATCGCCTAAATTCTCAATACTGTCAAAGTTCGACTTAACGAGACTTCGTTAAGTCGAACTTTGACAGAATTGAGAATTTAGGCGATTTTTAATCGCCTAAATTCTCAATTCTGTCAAAGTGCATTTTATCATTTAAACATGTTCAGACATTAAAATCTGTTGATTATTTTTTTAATCAACAGATTTTAATGTCTGAACATGTTTAAATGATAAAATGCATTTACTTTTTACAGCTTTACAATTAACGAATAACGGTGCTTTTTAACTGTCCCGCTTTGCCCTATCCTCTTGCAAAATGTAGATATTTTGCTAATTTCGTTACTTTGGTTGTCATAATATAGACATTTTTAGACATTTTTTGTTTTGTTTTTCGGTTTTCTTATATCAATGAATTTTCGAAAACTTAAAAAAAAAAAACAGTATTAACTATGATTAGTGTCCCTATATACCCCGCTCTACCCTACTGAACAATTATTAAATTGTATTGTACAAGTATTGTACAATTGTTACGGTTGCACAGTATTATAAATAGATATTATTTTTTTTTGATAAGTATATCAATAATATCAGTAAAATAGTAATATAGGTCACCTTTTTCTCTTATATGAACAATTGCTTAGAGTAAATGCTTTCGCGTAAAAAAAAAAGTAATTGCTCAAAATTTTAATTCACGTAGTTTGAGCAATTACTCCAAAAACTCTTAGTGAAAACAATTGCTCATTTTAATTATTCACCCGGCCTAATCTTTAACATCAAAAAAATTACGGGGAGGTTAACTTTATAACCGTATTACGTATTAGTTAATATAGCAATTTTTTATCCAGTTCCTACTAATCACAAGTGGTACAGTGAATTGAAAAAGTTGATTGAAAGTCTACCAACACCATAAGTTATTAAATTCCAGGTGATCTGCAGAAAAGGTTTTTAGATCAATATTTACCTACTTTTCATTGATTTTAAGCGATCTTTGATGTCTTATCAGCCATTATTAGGCATCATACTAACTGCACGCTCTACTACTTGGTATTTACAGTGATCTGACTCAAGGGTTGGGTTCACTTCCTCCGCAAAAATGTATATTTAAAGCTATATAAGTTCTAAAGAATTGCTTTTCCATAGTCCTTAAAAAAAAATTATATAAAAAAATACAAATATATTTTGTTTTATATTACACGTTTTGTTAACAAATACGGATCTAAAATTTTATTTAATTGAAAATAAAAATATAATGACAATAATAGTTAGCAATGTCTGCAGAAAAAATGTTTATGTAATAACAAAGTTTATTTAACAAGCTTAACAGAATCGAATTGCGTTGTTAAAAAGCTGGTATTTAGGTAGAAAATTGACGATATTTTAAAGGTGTCAAAAAATGGACCCGGCTATCATAAAATTGAAATCTTTTTATTGTACAAATTTTGGTAGCTTTCAGCTTGGTTACATTGATACTGCTAAAATAACTCTCATGATTAATATTTTTAAAACCATGCGCATGTTGGTCAGGTTATGGGGTACTGTGTCTCTGCAAGCATCTTACAAAAAACACATGATGCAAGTATAAATAATAAATATCAGCTTTTCCAATGGCTGGAAGAGAGCATTAAGGAACTTAAATTACATAAATAATCTGTAAAAAAAATTTTGTTTGAAGTATGAAACATAAATGTGGGTTTTTAAAATTCCGGTTATTTGAAACAGCTGGCTTCAAGTTGACAAAATTGCATGAAATTTTCCAACATTAACTTACATATTATATTTCATAATTGTTTGTGCTTTACGCTGCTTTCTGATGCACAAAATATTTGCTTAATCATATATTTTTACATTTTCTCCTAATATTTCAAAGTTAGCAAACTGCAAAAATGATGTGCACCTCAAATATATTTGTGTACTTTTCTACAAATTTTTTGTAAAGTAAATTTTGTAAGTAAGTCTATTAACTTGAGAGGATATCTGTTTCTTTTCTTCTTCATCTCCATAGAGACACATTGCTTTGTTGACTCGTGTAAGCATAGTCAATAAATCGTCTTTTTCAGAGTATTCTTTAAATATTGAAAGTAGACACAAAATAAACCATGAACCATATAACTTTCCTGAATTCTTACTTTTAACAGGATGATAGGGGTATGAATACGCTTTTTTGTTTTCGGTAGTTGAATACGCCACAAATACATTTTTACAGAACGAAAATGGTTTTGTAGCAGAATCAGACATAAGTGTGCAATCGTTTAAACTTGATTTTTGCAAAATATATATACCCTTATCATCCTCCTCACCACGGCAAGCTTGTATAAAAAATATTTTAGGCGTTTGTATTTGGATTCGACTTTTTTGGCCGCTGAATATTTCTATAATATCATTCAACAAGATTGTTTCATTGTCTTTACAAATTATTCCTGTTTGATTTCCATGACTTGATATTAGTACCATGATACAATCGTAACCTTAAACATACAAAACTTATGATGCGCACTTGTATGATACAGAATAATACACCCTTCGTTCCGAAATACTGTTCCGATTTGCATTCAACGTAAAAAATTATTGAAAATAAACTATGTTGTTTATTTTTTTTATTTTATACTATAAAGTATATTAAATATATATATATATATATATATATATATATATATATATATATATATATATATATATATATATATATATATATATATATATATATATATATATATATATATATATTCTATTAATTTATTGTATAAAATAATATAAATTTATATCAAAAAATTAAAAAAATTATCAACAATTTATTTTGAATAATTTTTCACGTTGAATGCAAATCAGAACAGTATTTTGAAACAGAGGGATATGATTTATATTATATATTTATAAACAACAATAATTTATATTTCATTTTATTTCAAGACTTATTATAATAGTGTAGAAAACAATTAATCTATGATCTGAATTTAGGCTTTAAATATTACGTAAGATATATATATATATATATATATATATATATATATATATATATATATATATATATATATATATATATATATGTATATGTATATATATATATATATATATATATATATATATATATATATATATATATATATAAATATGTATATATATATATATATTTATATATATATATATATATATTTATATATATATATATATATATATATATATATATATATATATATATATATATATATATATATATATATATATATATATATATATATATATATATAACACCCCTACCCAAAACGTGTAGATAATGAGTTGAATTATTTATTTTTTCATAAATGTAAACGAGTTATGTATTCATTGAGAGATTTCAAATTTTATATTTAAATTATTCAGTGTTCAGTTTTTATGACCATCTAAAGTTTGTGGCCCAATCAAATCGAGGCGGGGGGAAGGGGTTATTTTTTACACGGTAATAAACACTGAATAAATTAAACATATATATATATATATATATATATATATATATATATATATATATATATATATATATATATATATATATATATATATATATATATATATATATATATGTGTGTGTGTGTGTGTATGTATGTATGTATATATGTATGTATATATTCAAACCTTCGATGTCTTTTCTCGAAACAACCTCATTACATTCAACGATCAATTCTCTTTTAGTTAAATCTAAATGTTTTTCTATAGAAAAATTCTTCTCTTTGAAATAAGTTACAAACTCGTTGACGTCACTGTGAGCTGCATATCGCGGAGTAACGTAGTGATTAAAGTTTACAAAATTAAAAACCACCAATAATCCTTTTCTTACGCAATAATGAAAATCGTCTTCAACGTTTTTAAACGTAACGTAGTTCAAATTACTCGCCATCAATATTTCAGTTAAGTTTTGTGGTTTAGGTTTGAGTTTCTTTTTCTTTTTTTCTATTAAAAATTTTACTGAAAAAATAATAATCTTAAAAAAATATTTAACACAAAAAAGATATGAATTTACAAATAAAAAAATGAAAAAGCTATTTTATCTTTACAACCCCACAGTGGGCCACTGACTGGACAATAGTATAAAAATCAAAGTCAGAATTTTGATATCGTAATGGTTTTAAACCTTTTTATAGATATTATAAAACAATTTAAAACCTTTTATATACATCTAAAGTTGTAATGAATAGACTAATTATGTGGTTAAAGTATATGCAAACGTAAATTAGAAAAAAAATATAATAAAGCAAAAAAAATTGTTTACAAAATCAATGGTAATAGTGTAACACTGTATTAAATATTGCGCATTGAAAATTATTTTATTGTTGAACTGTCTATTTTCTGCATTTTAAGAGTTGTTAGATTAAAATAGGTAAGAAAACAAATAAGTTATAATAATTTTAAATACTTCATTAAAAGAATATTTGAAGTGTATTTTTTGGTTTAAAAAATACAAAAAATAGAAGATCTTGTAGTATCTTGTTATTTTATATACATATTTTGAAGCTTTTATATCCATATTATGAAAATATGTTTATTTTAGCTGCAAATATTTGCTAAATTAATTTTAATTTGCAATGATTTGCAAAAATATTCAGAGGCGGATCCAGCATTTTTTGGTGTTTGAGATAGCTAACTTCCAGACATGGAGCAAACTCCAAACATTTATATGTTTATACTTTTTGTTCCCAGGCTCCAATCATTGCAATTTTTTGCAAACCATCCTTGTTTGATATAAGTATAAACATATAAATGTTTGGAGTTAGCTACATGTCTGGAAGTTAGCTATCTCAAACACCAAAAAATGCTGGATCCACCCCTGATATTGTATATAAAATATAACATCGCGAACAAAATAATACAATATGTTATAATTTAATGAATATTTTGATTCAAAAATAAGACTATTTAATTATAGTTAATATTATAATAATTAAAAGAAAATATTTCTACATAAAATAAATGAAAACCTATTGATAAATTGTTTTATTTTTAACTTTAGACTATTTTTATTATGTCAAGCATTAATAGAAATCAAATCCATTTATTTATAAGAGAAAACAAATTATCATTATCAAATGAAAAAGATAAGCTGGTAGTTTTTAATTTTATTAGTGAACAACTTGGCAATTCTAAATGTAAGGTTCAATTTTCAAAGTTTACTTTTGAATACAGAAAGCGATGGGCTGCAAGTGGACATTACAATGATATATTTTTGGATAAAAATTTAACCTGGCTTTGCAAAGACTTTATTAGTCCCCAACAAATCTTTTCTTTATGCAATACAAAAACTACACCTAAATTATCTCTTGGCAGGCCTTGTAAATCATTTGAAGAATCATCTGATAAATCTAAAAAGAGGAAAGTGTCAAAACTTTAATCATTGGCAAGTTCTTCAAACGAGCTGTTGTTTGCTAGCAGTTGCAAACTTTGGAAACAAGGAAGGAGAAAGCATGCTATAGTAGTTAGAAATTTATCAAAAACTCAAACTGATGAACATGTTCAAAATACTCCCAATGAAGCCTTAGCACATATCTTAGATAATAATCTGAGCAAGTCTGATTATCAGCGTCTAAGGAACAATGCTGTAAGAAAAGGATGTTATTTATATCCAGCTTATAATAATGTACGGGAAGCAAAAGTTCTTTGTCTTCCAGAGAATAACCTATGGACTGTCACTGACTATTCTGCAGAGGTCAACATGCAAGCATTGGTCAATCATACAGCACTACGTTTAATAGAATGTCATGCAGAAGTTATTAACTCCTTAGAAGATCTTCAACGAATGACCCTAAGGTCCAAAGTTGGCTTTGATGGCAAAGCCTTTATACTCAAATAACAACAGAAGAAGAAAACAGAAATATTACAAATGAAGCCAGCTTATTCCTCACTTGCTTTGTGCCTTTGCAGTTATCTGGATATTGTAATGGCGAAAAGAAGATTATTTGGTCCAACCCTCATCCATCATCCACTTTATTTTGCAGACCAATAAGATTCTCCTATAAAAAAGAAACGTCAGATGTATTAAAAGAAGAAGAACAATTCCTTTACAACTCAATAGAAAAATTATTTAATACAAAGTATGACAAATTAACAGTTCTGCACAAAATTGAAACTACAATGGTGGATGAGAAAGTTGCCACAGCACTATCCACAGCAACAAAATCATTGCAATGCTGCTCAGTTTGTGGTTGCAACCCAAAAAAAATGAATGACTTAAATACTGCAAAAAATCTCCCAATTACTAAAACTTGACTTAATTATGGGCTTTCAACTCTCCATGCATGGATCAGAACTATGGAATGCCTTCTCAAAATAAGCTACAAATTAACAATACAGAAATGGTCAACACGAGAACCATCAAAAAAGAAAATAATTCAAGATAGAAAGACATCAATTCAAAAGAAACTTCGTGATGAAGTTGTGTTTTTAATTGATTTTCCAAGGACTTGTGGTTCAGGATCTTCAAACACTGGCAATACTGCTCGACAATTTTTTCAAAATGCAGAGAAGACTGCTGAAATTCTCCGACTAGATGTCATCATCATTAAGATATTGCATGTTATTTTTTATCGTCACAATATGTTATTGATTTTTCTCGATTTAGAGACTTCTGCATGCAAACAGCTGAACGATATGTGAACCAGTATCCATGGTACCACATGCCACAGAGCCTGCACCGAATTCTTATTCATGGTTGGCAAGTTGTGTATCGAATGGCTTTGCCAATTGGCATGCTCAGTGCAGAGGCACAAGAAGCACGAAACAAGGACTTCAAGAAGTTCCTGGAGTCTTTTTCAAGAAAGTGCTCTTGTTCTAAAACAAATAAAGACTTGTTAAGGAGATTGATGTGTTCATCTGATCCAATTATTAGTAATTTGAGAACACCACATCATCCAAAGAAGAAAGACTTTGTAGATGGAGTGCTAGAGCTACTAAAAGAAGTACCACTTAAAGATTTTGTGTATATATATTATATTATTACATTTTTACTGCAATGTTACTTGAATTGTGTTTCTGCTTTCATTTTTTCTGCTTATCTGTTTACTATATTTTTATTGCTACAAATTAACGATGTTATAACGACATTTTGTTTACCCCATTGTAACTAAGGATATTGTAACTAAGCAATATAATTTTCCATAGCAACAAAATAAAAAAATAGCGCCTTCATAAAAAATACACACATCATATTAGTACTCATGCCAAATTTAGTGAATATAGCACTCGTAAAATATCTGCAAATACCAAAAATAGGTTGTTGTTAAGCAAAATAAAGGTATCCATAGCAACAAAATAAAAAAAAACACCTTCATAAAAAGGGCAGACATCATATTAGTAATGAACTTTGTCCAGTAAAAGTGAATTTTGGCCCATTGTGAACCCGTAAAAAATCTTTTGACTAAAATTTTATCTTTGCTATGTTGATCTAATAAATAAATTGCTTTTTTGTGTGATGAAACAGGATTCTGGCAACAGTTACACTGACAACAGTGTCCTTGATTTTTATAGTAATAGTAATATATTTAAATAAGCCTTTTTAGATTGCATGAAAAATAATTAAAAAAAACTGAAACCAATAAATTTTACAAAAGTTTATAATATATATTTATTGTGGTTTGTAAAATATAAACTTGAAGTTTGTTACCAAAGTTTTCTTTTTTTTAGATTTAATGACAAATAATTAAAAAAAAAAAACGAGACCAATAAATTATACAAAAATTTATAGTGATTTGTAAAATATAAACTTTAAGTATATGTTGCCAAAGCTTTCTTATTTTGTGGGTTTAATGCCAAGAGTATTACTTTAAATATGTTTAATATAATATATTAAACATGTACATTAAATATGATAAAAAGTACATATCTTTTTTATCGTATTTATCTAAAAGCACTATTTATGTGAATTCAAAATAACTTCTAAAAAATTAAAATACCGTAGTATTTATTGTAAATTGAAACGCAACCCAAGCCTTAATTTGAGAGTATCTAAACCAACTTCTATGGCCACACGTTTTTGTAAGAAAAAGATTTTATTAATTTTTAATAAACATACTGAACTTGTTGATAATCAGGCCCGTAGCTACCGGGTAGGGGGAAAGGGAGCAGCAGCAGGGCTGTTTGCCTCCCCCTCCCCCCAAATAATTTTTTAATAATTTTGAAAAAATTGATTGAAAAAATGACTAAAAAAAAAAAAGGTCTTCAAAACTATTTCGGGATAATACTGCTCTCCCAATATAACTTTTGTTCCTTCGGGCCTGATAATTACAATATTACTGCAGATTTACTTTACAACAATAAAATTGGACTAAGTAGAGTTCAGAAACCAAGAAAAGTTTTAGCTCTGAAAGTAAACACCAAGCAGGAGGTATTATTAGTGATGAAAGAGGTTTGAGTACCACTGCTGTATGTAGTATGAATGCTGTTGGATCCTTTGTACCTCCTATGCGGATATTTGAGAGTATATTATTTAAAAATAAGCTTAAAGACGGTGCACCATCATTGACAATTTTTGGATGTTCAGATACGAGTTGGATAACTACGTATTTATTTACTTTGTGAAGTAAGTAATTTTATAAGCTCACTTTATAATTTATTTAGGATGATCTTCCTTTCGAAACAACATCTACACATACAGTGCAAACTTCACTCAATTAAAAAACAGAAAAAATCTAAAATAGAGCTACTCTATTGAAACGCAATGCACATAATGACCAGAGGGTAACAAAATCTAACATAGCCTTATTATCATCACTAAAAAACAGAACAGTAAGTCTTTCATTTTGCTTGTTGTAATTTTACATTAATAGTTATTCACACACGCAAACACACATGTTTACCTCATAAGGTATTCCATTGCATTTATATTTTCTTAATTATAATAAAAATTTGAATTTAATTTTTGCAAGCAGACAGTTTTTAAGCTGAAAATTGTTATTGTTTATTTTTTATCTTACAGTGTCTTGATATACCTACAAAAGCATTATCTTTACTTCCAATAAGAAATTCTCCTCTCAAAAGGAAAAAAATAAATACATACATACATACATACATACATACATACATACATACATACATACATACATACATACATACATACATACATACATACATACATACATACATACATACATACATACATTCATACATACATACATACATACATACATACATACATACATACATACATACATACATACATACATACATACATACATACATACATACATACATACATACATACATACATACATACATACATACATACATACATACATACTAAAGAGCACTATTTATTATATGTAATACTAAAATACTAAATATTAAATAGATAATATATAAAATATATATATATATATATTATATATATATATATATATATATATATATATATATATATATGTATATATATATATATATATATATATATATATATATATATATATATATATATATATATATATATATATATATATATATATATAGATATAAAAAATAATAATAATAACAATATTAAATAGTGCATTAAATATTTCGTACTTACATGAATACCGATTTAACATTTTATTTGTAAATATTTTTATTTTACTTGGATGGTATTTAATAATTCTGCAACTAAAATTCATAATATATAATTGAAAGTTTAATAATTCACGTTTAACCTAGTTGTCACATCAGAAACATAACTTTACATAAGAATGAAATGAAACTTAACTTTATATTAGAATGAAAACTTAATTGAGCTAAATTTAGCTTTGGTGTCAAAACAGAAAGTAAAAGAAATTTCCATAACGTACGTCATTAGTTTGGATTATTTTAAATGTTTAGAATATTTTAATGAATTCCAGTGTTTTTGTGAGAAATATTCGTGGATAAAAAAAAACTTGACAGTGATGAATTTAAAAACAAAACTTTTTATTTACCTTCATTAATTTGCAATTTTTTTTTTTTAATCTATTGATTTAATTGTACCCTGTTCAACACTTGCAAATCAGAAACAAACAATTTAATTTTTGTTAAAAATATTTCTAAATTTATTTGATATACCTAATTGATTGAATTAAACTATATATAGTAAATATGTAAGTTTTTATTAAACTGTTAAACAATATAAATGTAATGTTTTTATTTTGAGTGATAAAAAATTTAGGATAATTTTTTTTAGTTAAATACATTAACTTTAATTTTTCACTGAAAATTCAAACAAAAAAATTTTATAATGGAAAAAGGTTTTACAATCTTGCAACCAATCATTAGCTATATATGAAAAGCTCATAAGCTAAACCACTTAATTCCACTTTTTGCAAATTTTTTAGTTTCGATAATTTCTAAATCGGCACTTAAGAACTCATTAAAAAATCATTTTTATGGTTCCTATTTCTGTTGTTAAATACCAAAAATATTTTTTTTATTCCTATTTTTGTTACTAAACGCAAAAAATATTATTTTAACTCATTTTTTTGGTAATAAATACCAAAAATATGAATAAAAAATTTTTAATTCATATCTTTGAAAAAAGTAAATTTGAATTTTCAATAAGTTCATAAGTGCCGATTTAGAAATTATCGAAACTAAGAAATTTGCATAAGGTGGATTTAAACGGCTTGGCTTTCATATTTAAATCAAAAAGTTAATAAAACATTAAAAATATAAATTAAACAATGAAATGGGTTCTGACGTCAAAAATATTTATTAAACGAATGTTATTGTTTAATCTGTGTCGAATTGAGAAAGTAAAAGTTAGTTTCTATGCTGACAGTAACTCAAAATTGAATAAAAACTCCACCAAAAATAGTATACCTAAAAAAATTCCTCTCAAAAAATTTTCCTAAGAAATATTTTCAGGAGGATTTTCCCTTCCAACTACCGCAGAGAAAAAGTTCCCCCTGACAAAGTACTTTCTTTCAGACGTGAAAATTTTTTCCAGGATATTTTTCTGGGTAACCTTTTTTTCGGGGAATATTTTTTAGGGAGAGTTTTACAAGAAGATTATTAACGGGGGAATTTTTTCTAGGTAGCTTTTTTCCTAGAATCGTATCACTTTTATACTTTTATATAAAATATTGAAGGATTCTCAACGGAAGTATATCCGTTTTAAAAGGAGTTTCACAATACCAAAGTGTAATTTTTTGATATATGTCGCACGTGTCAAGTTTTTCTTTTGATTTATCTGAAGTAGCAGTCGCTTATATATATATATATATATATATATATATATATATATATATATATATATATATATATATATATATATATATATATATATATATATATATATATATATAATATATATATATATATATATATATATATATATATATATATATATATACATATATATATATATATATATATTATATATATATATATATATATATATATATATATATATATATATGTGTGTGTATATATATATATATATATATATATATATATATATATATATATATATATGTGTGTGTGTATATATATGCATATATATATATATATATATATATATATATATATATATATATATATATATATATATATATATAATATATATATATATATTACATATATATACATGCATATATGTATATATATATATATGCGTGTGTGTGTGTGTGTGCGCGTGTGCGTGTGTTCTTATCTAAGAGTATTAAATTACACTGTTTTAATTCAATTTTCTTAGATAAGTATACAAATTTGTTTATTTAATAAGTAGACGTCGCATATATACGATTTAATTTCAAAGTCAATATTTTTTTGTGAAAATTGATTACTTTGTAAAACAAAAAAATTCTATATGTCTTTACTAAATCCCAGCCATATATTATTAATTTTATATGTTCGATCAAACAAAACAATGAATAAGACTAAGTCTGTAGCAAGAGGGAACAAAATTTTAAAAAAATCTAAATAACAACAAATTTCAATAACACGGTAACACTTAATAACACGTCAAGTTTTTGAATTAGTTGCTCAAATTACGTAAATAAAAATTTTGAGCTTTTTTTGAGGTTTATTTTGAGCTTTTTTTGAGGCTTATTTTGAGCTTTTTAGAGCTTTTTTTTTATTCACTCGGCTTAGTATCTAATTAAAATTTTTTTAAAGTAGAACAAGTTTAAAATTTGTTTTACGTTCTTTTTAACGTTTTTTTTATGTTCTTTTCTTACGTTCTTCTTTTTTGTGTTCTTCTTTTTTTACTTTCTTTTTAATATTCGAAAAAAATTAACTTACTAATTATTATTAATAGACAAAAAAAATTGTTTTTTATAGGTACCTTACCTTATTGGCTGATAATTGTCTGTTTAATTTAATAAATAAGTTACTATGAGATCAGTTTTATAATGAGCAAGATAAAGTTCAATGACTATTTTACTATTTTTAATGTAACATGATATTTATTTATTTAAAGGTTAAGTTATGTTATGTTTATCTATCAATTTATTAACAAATTCGTATTATAAAGTTGAGTTAAAGCTGCCAGTAAGTATTTTTCATTTCATTTTAATTTTATTTTGTTACTACGCGCGCGCGCACACAAGCACACACAGAGTGAGATAGATAAAACATTGGTTCAGTTGGTCAAGTTATTTTTCCTTTAAATCTTAAATACCACGGTATTACAGGTTCAACAAATACGTAGATACAAAGCTATTTTTCTAACATAAAACAGGATGTATTTAAAAAATTGTGAGCTTTTAATATTGCGGAATTTTTCAGAAATCATTCTGGGTCTATTTTTATTTTCATCATACTTCAATGGTATTCCAGTGGGCCTAGGACCTAGAAAAACATTTTTTTAATGTTCAAAAGACGTTTACAAGACGTTTAAAAAACGTCTTTTTTCTGTACCGTGCTCTCTGGGTATGCATAAAGTTCCCAAAAAATATCTTTAATTATTTATGCCAAAACTAATAAATTTTTTCTGAATTGGAAAAAAAAAACTTATATCTTTTTAACAAAATAAATAATTAAACTAATTTGGCAATGCTGCCTGAACTAATCAAGAAAAATTAAATCGTGAAAATTATACAAAGTTTTGTCGTTTTATTTTATGTAAAGTATAGAGAAACCATGTTGGTTTCATCGAAACCAACATGGTTTTTTCTTTCATGGCAAAACCACATTAGTTTCATTGAAACAAAATCCTTTATGGCGAAACCATATTGGTTTCATCGAAACAAAATTTTTCATGGCGAAACCGTTTTAGTTTCATCGGAACAAAATCTTTCATGACGAAAACATATTGGTTTCATCGGAACAAAGTCCTTGATGGTAAAAACATTTTGGTCTCATCAAAACAAAATCTATCATGGAGAAGCTATTTTGGCCAAAAAAGAAAAAAAAAAAAACTCTAAAAAACATTTTTTTTACTTCTTAATTAATTATTAAAATAAAAAGGCAAAACCCAGTCACTGAAATGAAAAAAATAAAGATCATAGATATTGCGAACTTTAACTCATTTCAATATTTAAAGATATATCTGAAATAAAAACTAGATATGAAAAATTGAAAACTTTGTAAAAGTGAATAAAAGAGTTCTATGAAAAAGTTGTATTGATAGTGTATTACCTTCACCATCTTTGACTCTATGACTGGTTTTATTGCATCTGTCATATTTTTTAAAAGTAGGGAAAAGTCGGGTAGCCTCAAACGGTGGGTAACTCCAAACACATGATGTACAGCATAAACTAAAGAAGCAATGTAGTTTTAAATACTATAAAAACATTATTTGAGTGAAAATTTAGCATCATAATATGCCGAAGCAATTGGCTGGGTGTGCAAGATGTTGTTTCCCCTACCAAAAGAGCGATGATAATATCATCATATTTGATGCACATATTATTATACCTAGTTTTTATGTAAACTAATAACTTTATATTGATTATAGATACATTTGTATTTACAATAGTTATCAAAAAATAATTTGTTTAATATATTCACTGGTTTTAAAAATAGTATTTGTGAATGAGGTATGACCGTGTGGTATCGGACACATGTTTGGAGGGTGGTTTCGGGCAACTCAATCCGTTTATATTTTAAAATTTAGCAAATTTTTTATATAAATAATAATACATTTAATATAATACACAAACCTATAATAGTAATTCATTTAATTCCAACAAAAAGACCTTAGATTAGAAAAAAGTGTTTTTAAAGTGAAGAGATTATATTTCTAAATGATGACATTTTCATTCCCATTTTTTATATATCAGAGGCAATTTTTAAAGACGATTTGTGTCGCACTGATAAAAAAGAGGTAAAACATTTTATTCATAAAAAAAAAATGTTAAATTAAATAATTAGAAAAACAAGAGTATGTAAAAAATACAAATAACGTTATACCAAAACATACAAAGAAACGTTATACCAAAACATACAAAATAACGTTATACCAAAACATACAAAATAACGTTATACCAAAACATACAAAGAAACGTTATACCAAAACATACAAAATAACGTTATACCAAAACATACAAATAACGTTATACCAAAACATACAAATATCGTTATACCAAAACATACAAAATAACGTTATACCAAAACATACAAAATAACGTTATACCAAAACATACAAAGAAACGTTATACCAAAACATACAAAATAACGTTATACCAAAACATACAAATAACGTTATACCAAAACATACAAAATAACGTTATACCAAAACATACAAATAACGTTATACCAAAACATACAAAGAAACGTTATACCAAAACATACAAAATAACGTTATACCAAAACATACAAAATAACGTTATACCAAAACATACAAAGAAACGTTATACCAAAACATACAAAATAACGTTATACCAAAACATACAAATAACGTTATACCAAAACATACAAAATAACGTTATACCAAAACATACAAATAACGTTATACCAAAACATACAAATAACGTTATACCAAAACATACAAATAACGTTATACCAAAACATACAAAATAACGTTATACCAAAACATAAAAAATAACGTTATACCAAAACATACAAATAACGTTATACCAAAACATACAAATAACGTTATACCAAAACATACAAAATAACGTTATACCAAAACATACAAAATAACGTTATACCAAAACATACAAATAACGTTATACCAAAACATACAAAATAACGTTATACCAAAACATACAAAATAACGTTATACCAAAACATACAAATAACGTTATACCAAAACATACAAAATAACGTTATACCAAAACATACAAAATAACGTTATACCAAAACATACAAATAAAGTTATACCAAAACATACAAAATAACGTTATACCAAAACATACAAAATAACGTTATACCAAAACATACAAATAACGTTATACCAAAACATACAAATAACGTTATACCAAAACATACAAAATAACGTTATACCAAAACATACAAATAACGTTATACCAAAACATACAAATAACGTTATACCAAAACATACAAATAGCGTTATACCAAAACATACAAATAACGTTATACCAAAACATACAAATAACGTTATACCAAAACATACAAATAACGTTATACCAAAACATACAAATAACGTTATACCAAAACATACAAATAACGTTATACCAAAACATACAAATAACGTTATACCAAAACATACAAATAACGTTATACCAAAACATACAAATAACGTTATACCAAAACATACAAATAACGTTATACCAAAACATACAAAATAACGTTATACCAAAACATACAAATAAAGTTATACCAAAACATACAAAATAACGTTATACCAAAACATACAAAATAACGTTATACCAAAACATACAAATAACGTTATACCAAAACATACAAATAACGTTATACCAAAACATACAAAATAACGTTATACCAAAACATACAAATAACGTTATACCAAAACATACAAATAACGTTATACCAAAACATACAAATAGCGTTATACCAAAACATACAAATAACGTTATACCAAAACATACAAATAACGTTATACCAAAACATACAAATAACGTTATACCAAAACATACAAATAACGTTATACCAAAACATACAAATAACGTTATACCAAAACATACAAATAACGTTATACCAAAACATACAAATAACGTTATACCAAAACATACAAATAACGTTATACCAAAACATACAAATAACGTTATACCAAAACATACAAAATAACGTTATACCAAAACATACAAATAACGTTATACCAAAACATACAAATAACGTTATAGCAAAACATACAAATAACGTTATACCAAAACATACAAATAACGTTATACCAAAACATACAAAATAACGTTATACCAAAACATACAAATAACGTTATAGCAAAACATACAAATAACATTATACCAAAACATACAAATAACGTTATACCAAAACATACAAATAACGTTATACCAAAACATACAAATAACGTTATACCAAAACATACAAATAACGTTATACCAAAACATACAAAATAACGTTATACCAAAACATACAAATAACGTTATACCAAAACATACAAAATAACGTTATACCAAAACATACAAAGAAACGTTATACCAAAACATACAAAATAACGTTATACCAAAACATACAAATAACGTTATACCAAAACATACAAAATAACGTTATACCAAAACATACAAATAACGTTATACCAAAACATACAAATAACGTTATACCAAAACATACAAATAACGTTATACCAAAACATACAAATAACGTTATACCAAAACATACAAATAACGTTATACCAAAACATACAAATAACGTTATACCAAAACATACAAATAACGTTATACCAAAACATACAAAATAACGTTATACCAAAACATACAAATAACGTTATACCAAAACATACAAATAACGTTATAGCAAAACATACAAATAACGTTATACCAAAACATACAAATAACGTTATACCAAAACATACAAAATAACGTTATACCAAAACATACAAATAACGTTATAGCAAAACATACAAATAACATTATACCAAAACATACAAATAACGTTATACCAAAACATACAAATAACGTTATACCAAAACATACAAATAACGTTATACCAAAACATACAAATAACGTTATACCAAAACATACAAAATAACGTTATACCAAAACATACAAATAACGTTATACCAAAACATACAAAATAACGTTATACCAAGACATACAAAGAAACGTTATACCAAAACATACAAATAACGTTATACCAAAATATACAAATAACGTTATACCAAAACAGAAACAAGTTGCATTTTTGTCTTATTTTAACTCATTCCTGAAAAAATTTTCAAAGCAAATGTACAAAATTAAGCACAAGGAATAAAAATTTAAACAGTTTTGAAACAAAAATAAATAAAATTACTTATGAAAAAACATTACCACCTTTATGATGTAAATATTTTTAAATAAGTAATTATTACTTTCATCGTTTTTTCTTAATCATAGATAATTTCTTTATATTGTCATCTTGACAATAAAGAAGTAATTTGTAACTTGAAGAACTTGAAGAAAATAAAT